GAAAGGAAGCCCAGGGATAGGATACTGGTGAATAGGACTAATAGCTCGAAGTCAGAATTAAAGGTGCTATATCTGAATGTGCGAAGCATTCGAAACAAGATAGATGAGTTAAATGCACAAATCAAAACAAACGGGTATGATCTGGTAGCCATCACTGAGACATGGTTACAGGAAGATCAAGGGTGGGAGCTAAATATTCCAGGGTATCTGGCATAGAGAAGAGACAGGCAATATCTGGAATCCTGTAGCTCAGTGGTTAGAGCACTCACTTTGCAAGCGAGAGACCCGAGTTCAATTCCAGGCAGGGCGAAACCTTGGGCAAGTTTCCTTACTCCACATGCCTAATAATAATCCCTCCAAAACAAAAAGCAATAATAAATTGGTCACTTCAATCTACGACTGTTTGTGGGACATCGCTGTACGCAATTGGCTGCCGCGTTCGCCCACAAATATACGGTCAATTCACTTTACAGTGTGTTCTGTGAAGCGCTTTGGGACGTCCTCTCGACGTGAAAAGCGCTATATCAAATGCAAGGATAATTATAATTATTATTATTATTATTATGTGGTAAACGAGAATGGGGGGTGGCCCTGCTAATAAAGGATGGGATAAAAACAGTAGAGAGGAAAGATTTTAAATCAGAAAAGCAGGAAGTAGAGTCAGTATGGGTAGAGGTACGTAATAACAAGGGGCAGAAAACTCTAGTGGGAGTAGTTTATAGACCCCCGAACAGCAGTCACAGTATCGCTCAAGGTATAAATCAGGAAATTAGCAGAGCATGTAGTAAAGGAAATACATTAATTGTGGGTGATTTTAATCTGCACATAGATTGGCTCAACCAAATTGGAAAAAGTATGATAGAGGAAGAGTTTATAGAATGTATTAGGGATAATTATCTAGATCAGTATACCGAGGAGCCAACCAGGGAACAAGCCATATTAGACCTTGTTTTGTGCAATGAAGCAGGGCTGATCAGCAAACTGGAAATTAAGGCTCCTCTAGGGCAAAGTGATCATAATATGATGGAATTTAGCATTAAGTTAGAGAGAGAAGTAGTTAAGTCCGAAGCAAAGGTTTTAAATTTAAGTAGAGCCAATTTTGCTGGTATGAGAGAGGATTTAGCCAAAATAAACTGGGAAATTAGACTTAAGGATTTGACAGTAGACCAGCAATGGCAGACGTTTAAGGAGATAGTGCAAAATTCCCAGCGAGCACGTATTCCTTTGAGGAATAAGAATGCCATGGGAAAGGTGGCCCAACCGTGGCTAACTGGAGCAGTTAGGGAAAGTATAAAGTTAAAGGAAGAAGCCTATAAAACAGCTAAGATGAGTAGTAAACCTGAGGATTTGGAGAACTTTAGGGATCAACAAAGGAGAACCAAAAAAGTGATTAAGAGGGAGAAAATGGAATATGAGGGCAAACTAGCAAGAACATAAAGACAGACTGCAAGAGTTTTTATAAATATATAAAGAGGAAGAGGCTGTCAAAGGTAAATGTGGGTTCACTACAGGCAGAGACGGGGGAATTACAGTAGGGGACAAAGACATGGCAGAGTCATTAAACAAGTACTTTGCTACTGTCTTCACCTTAGAAGACACTGAAAACCTACCAAGAATAGAGGGGAACCAAGAAGACAATGTTAGCGAGCAACTTGGGGAATTAATATTAGTAAAGAAATGGTTTTAGGTAAATTGTCAGGTCTTAAAACTGATAAATCTCCTGGACCTGATGGCCTACATCCTAGGGTTTTAAAAGAGGTGGCTACTGAGATAGTGGATGGCTTGTCTTTGATCTTCCAAAATTCTCTGGATTCTGGAACGGTTCCCATTGATTGGAAGATTGCAAACGTAACACCACTATTTAAGAAGGGTGGGAGAGAAAAGATGGGGAACTATAGACCAGTTAGTCTGACATCAGTGGTAGGGAAAATTCTTGAGTCCTTAATTAAAGATGTCGTTATGGGATTCCTGGAAGACCATAACAAGATTAGGCAGAGTCAACATGGCTTTACAAAAGGGAAGTCATGCTTAACTAATCTTTTAGAGTTTTTTGAAGATGTATCTAGCAGTTAGATAGGGGGGAACCAGTAGATGTAGTATATTTAGATTTTAAAAAGGCATTTGACAAAGTGCCACATAAAAGGCTATTGCACAAGGTTAAGGCCCACGGGATTAATGGGAACATATTAGCATGGATTGAAGAGTGGCTAACGGGTAGAAAACAGAGAGTAGGGATAAACGGGTCATTCTCGAATTGGCAGGATGTGACTAGTGGAGTGCCACAAGGATCAGTGCTTGGGCCTCAGCTATTTACATCAATGATCTAGACGAGGACATTGAATGTAACGTATCTAAATTTGCGGATGACACTAAACTAGGTGGGAGAGTAAGCTCTGAGGATGATGCAAAAAGATTGATGCAACGGGATATAGATAGGCTAGGGGAGTGGGCGAGTAGGTGGCAGATGGAATTTAATGTGGGGAAGTGTGAAGTTATTCACCTAGGTAAAAAAAATAGAAAAACAGATTATTTTCTAGAGGGGGAGAGATTAGATAGTGTTAGTGTTCAGAGAGTGTCCTTGTACACCAGTCTCAAAAAGTTAGCGTTCATTGCAAAAGGTTTAGAGTACAGGAGTAGGGAAGTCTTGCTGCAACTGTATGAGACCACACTTAGAGTATTGGTGAGACCGCACCTAGAGTATTGTGTGCAGTTTTGGTCTCCTTATTTACGAAAGGACATACTTGCCCTAGAGAGGGTGCAGCGTAGATTCACTCGGTTAGTTCCTGGGATGAGGGGACTGACCTTTGAGGATAGGCTGAATAAACTAGGGCTATATTCTCTAGAGTACAGAAGAATTAGGGGAGATCTTATTGAAACATAACATTCTTAAAGGGCTGATAAAGTAGACACTGAGGGACTGTTTCCCCTGATAGGAGAATCTATAACCAGGGGTCACAGTCTTAAAATTAAGGGTCAGCCTTTTAGAACAGAGTTCAGGAAACATTTCTTCACACAGAGGGTAGTGAATATATGGAATTCACTACCCCAGAAGGCTGTAGATGCTCAGTCCTTGAACATCTTGAAGGCTGAGACTGATAGATTTTTAAAAATAGAGGGATTAGGGGATATGGGAGGTAATTAGAGTTAGGTCTGAAGATCAGCCATGATCTTATCAAATGGCAGGGCAGGCTCGAGGGTCCGAATGGCCTACTCCTGCTCTTAATTCTTATGTTCTTATGTATCACTGTAGATTGCAGAAGTACAATGCAGCTGAAATGAGAACGAACATGTTGTTCTTGGAACTCAAGTGGTCTTAGAAAATTCAATTAAGTTATTAAAAATTACGATTCTCTAGTTAATAAATGGCCAAATATTCATTCTCCTCACAACCACTTACTGAGTGAACCACTCCCTGGAGCTAGATTAGCCATGATAGTCAAACAAATAAGCATACACAATACACAGGCAATACACTTTACAGTAAATCACTTTAAGGTGAAGAAAGATACAGTGAAGCAAGTGTGTTGAGATGTTCTCCCGACATGAAAGGTGCCAAATCAAAATCAAGATTATTTATTATTATTATTATAAGATACCGTTTAAAACTAACTTTTTTCATTTAACAAACTACTACATATAAAATTAATTAATGTATAACTAATTAAGACATAACACTTGATTATGCAGAAGTGAAATTTACGAATGGATGAAACAAGTTCAAAATTCCAAATGATGTAGAACTTCATCTCATTCAATACCTTGGATTTCTATGGAATAGAAAATTCTCGAGAAGTATGATGGGTGGTTTAATTTTATTGAAGTGTTTGTGTTACTGATAGTGTGAGGACTGTGCGCATGAAGAGGGCTGGCTGGTTGAGCTGAAATTGATAAGCAATTCACTAGAAAAGGTGTAATGTAACTTAATCCTTAAGCTTTTTACGTCGGCAGAGATTATGTTCTGACCTTTAGCATTATACACTGCATACTAGCGATTTAAGGAGTTTCAAAGCATTATGCCCTCAGTTGTACTTTGTAGGTAGCACAACCTGATTTTATATATTACTCCTTAGTGGGATTGTGCTATGCCACTCACAACTACCATCAATCTCCTCACATCACTATACCTGGTCTCATCATGCTGGTTACTCATTCCCATTTTAATTTCAGAATTGTAGATCAGATCGCATTACCTGTGTTATTCTATATTAAATACTGGATTCTGGCAATTATTGTTCAATGCTGTAACAATAATAGTAATAATTATCTTTGCATTTGATATAGCGCCTTATCATGTTGTGGAGACGTCTCAAAGATAGATGGATGTCCCTTTGTTCTCGTGGTTGTTGATGGCACCAGAACCGCCTGAGTAGTTACATCCTTGTAGCTCCCACCATAGTTTCCATTATTTTAATAGTGATTGGTTTAGTACCTGTGATCATTGGATTGTTAGATCAGTAGAAATAATCAAGATCGCTGTCCTTTCTGTTGTGCTATCAGTAGTTTTTAAGAAAGTTATTTAATGTTGAATTTACATGTCTACCATCAAAACCAAATTGTTTATATTAAATATATACAGTGTATAAATGTTTATTTTATTAAACACTGAAAAGCTCTTTTGGTTAAAGAACTCTGTCACTACAAATAGCATTTCCAATATCTGCCAACCCGACACATCAGAGACGTTGGTAAATGTCTGTTAAAGTAGCTGGATGATTTCAAACATTGATGCATCACAACAAATATTTTACACTCAAACATTTGGAGCTTTTCAAAGACCTACAAAGGAGGATTTCAATATATCATGCAGTAATCCGCTTCTCAGACCAAGTTAAAAAGGGATGACTGGCTGAAAAAGCATGTCCTAATTGGAAGAAATAAAGGGACTAACCCTGAGACTGTAATGATTGTGTGCCTTGCACAAGTGTTGCAAGATCGTATTGGAACAAATCTCCAAAATGTAACTGTTTTCTATTTGTTTGTATGAAATGTTAACCCATCAGAGGGTCCCAACGCCCTCCAAATGAGAGATCACGATGCTGCTCCACCGGGTTGAATTTCTTGTAAGTCACGTATTAATAAAAGTTTGCCTGGTTTTATTCCCCATTGTCTGTTCACAATGTGCCTGTGAGATTTATTGATGTCTAGAGACCTGGCATTTTGCATGTAACAAGATCCTTTTAAAATCAGGTCTCCCCTGGCCTGGTGCTTAAAGTTGCAAAATGTTCTAATAACTCTTGTGTGGGAGAACAGTTTTAATTGGTCCAAAGTCTACAGACTCTCAAATGGTGTGTATAAAAATGAAGACTATCGACAATTAACAAATTGCAATTTAATAAAAAAGTAAAACTAGACAAAAATACAAAATTGCTAATTACCAAACTCTATCATCAGAAATAAGTCACAAGAAAACAATTGCAGCTTTAAGTGAATGTACAGATATTTTTAGTAACCATTTCTCTTGGCCAACATAGGCAGTGTTTCTTTAATAGCCCAAATCTAAGCAAACAAAGTTGTTCACACATCAAGGCTTTCCAGTGAGGATTCAAATGAGCATTTAAACAGTAGGTTTTTGAAGGCTAATTAACATGGTTTAAAAAGATTTGTTTATGATGTATTGTCCCCTCTCCCCCCCCCCCCCCCCCCCCCCGGAGATGAAACATAAATACTTCTTGGAGTTCTGTATCAAGGTAGGGGCTGCCCATTTTTCATTCTTCCCATCCTGAGCAGAAAGATGTTTGAATAGACTTTTATTACATTTTAGGTTGAATAAGCCTTGACTACAATGTTTATTTGTGTGTCTGTGTGTTGGGTGGGGGGGGGGTCAACAAGTGAGCAAGGTGAGCATGATTTGGAAAGAAAATTACACTAACAAATTGCTCCGAAAGGTCAGATATCCAAAGTAGCCTCAACACATATGGTAAGGCGTTACATCCACCCCAGTGAGACCTACAGCTTCTGTATCCTTGTTTTGCAACTATGCTGAGAAAAGGACAAGGCCCCATTTTGGGCATTAAACAATCACAGCTTCTGACACAGCTACCCTGACTCTGCCCAAAGCAGAGGGGAGGGGGGAGCACTGTCCACTGATTAATGAGCTGTAATGAACTTGGCATTGCTTGTTTGTAATGACAAAATCTTATTCCAAGTGACAAACATATTTACAACAACTTGTGAAAAGTTCACAATAGCCTCCCCCCCCCCCCCCCCCCCCGTGCCTTCACTCCAAATCCAAAGTAATGCTCTTATTTTATCAGTGTGACATTTTGTATTTCAGACCAGTTGAACTTATTTTTTGCAGAATATTGTCCTCTGATCACAGCATCAAACTATTTTTAAATGAATCCAGTGTCCTCGCCTCAACCACCCTAGCAAGTAATTGGTTCCAGTTATTAATTACCCTCTAGATAAAGAAATACTTCTGGGTATCAATCCTGAAATTGCTCTTTACAACTCTTAAACTTACATCTTTTTGTTTGCTGTTTAACTAAATACAGTATTGTTCTGAATTTACTTTCCTAATTAGTTTAAAATCTTGCATTCTTCTATAACACCCATTTAGAGACACCTCCTTTCAAAACTGAAATCCCGTACGCCTAATTGTTGCTTGTGGCTCATTCCTCTAACACTGGGACTGCAGCCTAATTATACAGATCAATGGTATGAATTGCGTTGAATTAATGGCTTTAATCCTGAGTTGTTTAGGCACGAGAGATTAAAAGTAAATAAAACCGCCCACAAGGTTTTAACTCAATGTCTCCTTTATTTGGTTGGCAGAGCTCAAAAACCCATAAACTATTTCTTTGTAACTTCTGACCACAATCAGTCAGTGCAATATGGTTACTGCAGAGTGGCCCAGTTTGTCTCTAATCCTGCTTTACTTAACACACAGAGCAAAGTCAAACACTGGTTGCTATTCCTAATACACTTCACAACCGTGCCTTTGGGACATAGGAAAACGGGAATAAAATAAGGCATTTAACCAAGTGAGCTTATTCCACTATTTTTGGACCTTGACAGATCTTTTAATCCTGATGTCCTGTCATTTCTTCATACGCTTTAATACATATTCTACCCAAAAATCTGTCTATCCAAACATTCCTACTGATTTGCCTTTACAACTTTCTGGGACAGAGCCTGTTCCCAACCCTCTGTGAAAAACCGTATTTCTTTCCTGTCCTCAGTTCTAATTGTCCATGTTCTGAGTTTAAGCCTATATTCCTTGTAGGTGGATATTCTTGATGCACTTAACCAAGGCTCCCATCCTAATATACTTGAATCAACTATTTCTATGATGCCAAACATGCTAGCTCTTCAATCTGTCTTCTATGAAAATCAGGTTTTCGCTTTTTTGAAACACACTGGCAAGCCTTTAGCAACAATTGGGTGGGGAACAATGAGAGGCAGAGCTTGATAAGCACTATATCGACAAGCCACTAAAGGCTTGGATGTACATTAAAGGAATGGGTTTAAATGGTTATAACTGTTTCAGATGATTACTTTGAGATCTGTAACATTACTGTTGCCCACTTGAAGCCTTATTGAATTGTATGGTGTCTATTGAATTAAGCCTTTGTTGGCCAATGAAATATAAATCAGTGAAGAAAACAAACAACACTGAAGTATCTAACCTGCATTGACAATGGAAATGGAAATACTCTCTGTAGGAAGCTTGAAATCACCATTCCTTCTTTAGTTTGGACAGATGTCTGTTAATACAAATGAATGCTACAATTTCCAAATGGCATTCCTGAACTAAAGAAATTAACCAACATTAGCATAAAAGGCTATTAATTGTATGAGTTAACTGTAACCCAACACCAAAAGACATTACCTGTGTTGGTGCTGTTTTGGTGATAGCTTGCACATGTATTTGTTTTAGTGCAATTGAACCCTGTTTACCTGGTTGGGAGTCCCTCAGACTGAAAATACAAAGGAAATCTTTGCTGAATTGTATAATGCTGTTGTATAAATGGCATCTGGGACCATAAAAACTTTCAAGCGATCACTTCCTTGGCTAAGCTTATGGTATTGAGTCCTGTAGCTCAGTAGTTGGAGCACTCGCTTTGCAAGCGAGAGACCTGGGTTCGATTCCCGGCAGGGTGAAACCTTCGGCAAGTTTTCTTACTCCACACGCTTGATGATAATCCCTGAAAAAAAAATTGGTCATTTCAATCCACAACTGTTTGTGGGACCCTGCTGTGCGCAATTGGCTGCCACATTTCGTCCACAAATATACAGTCAATTCACTTTACAGTCTATTCTGTGAAGCACTTTGAGAACATCTAGAAGACGTGAAAAGTAATATATCAAATGCAAGGATTATTATAACTCTTACAGTACAATGGAGAGAATGTTTTTTTTTCCCCCTGATGTTTCTCAATTTGTTCACCAAGTGCTGGGAGTTTTTGGGAGATTACTGGTAGTTTGGTAAACCAGGACAACTGGTGTTTGGTACACCAAGGTCTGCTGCAGTGAATACATTGACTATCTCAGGTTTAATTGTGCATGACATAACTATTAACCTTATGTACTGGGACTGAGATAGATTCTTGTATGGATAAAAATCGAGATGGTATGGAGATTGGTGCGTATTAAGTAAAAACAGAAAATGCTGAGCATTCAAAAGATAAAGATAGTTTAGTTTAACATTGTGGGAATAACATAATCAAAACGAGGGGATTTGAACAAGAATAATACAGGTTAAGAGACTTTTCTCTTTCAGATCTGACTGACCCACTGTGTGTTAACATAGTTTGTTTTTATTTTACACGCACAAATTTCTCAACACGAGATCAAAAACTGGAAAAGTCCAGAGAAACTGATGCCATTAGTCCACAGTACTCACAGGGCTAAAGGGACCTCTTCCTCCACTCCCCACGCCCCTTCTTAAACCCTTTAATTATTGATTCACGCCAAAACCAGGTTTGCATGTGACAGCAAACGCATGACAGTGTGGTTTTCCTTGAAGAAGCACTACTGTAGCACCACACATTTCACTGAACACATAGTTTTCTCTTGGTTACAACAATAATGGTGTCTTGCATCGTGTTTTTGTTGTTGCTAAAACTTATCCTAGTACTCTACAAATTGAAAAGTTTATTTTAAAAAATACAAACACACCATCAGTGCTCCTTTTACAAAAAAACAAATACAAAGAATTAACATTGTTGTTTTGTTTTCTCTCCCGATTTTTTTTATTGAATGTTTTTGGTCAAGCTGGGAGAGTGATGATGGTTCTGTCATTCAGTAGATCAGGGACCAAAGCAGCATGGACAGATGGTAGTGACTCTCCATTTACCATTAAACCTTCATTCTCCAATTTTGATTGTGAGTGTTAATTCTGTGCCTCACACTGTTAGGAGCATTTGTATTCACTGTTTCCAGAAAATATTACGATTAAAACGTTGGTGAAATATAAGACAAATAACACGGATTATTAAAAAAAATATTTAGTGGTAAATGCCGAGAGTGAATGCAGTTTCCAAAACACAGGTAAACAGAACATAATTTCAGTCAATCGCAGCAAAACAGACTTTACTTTGCAAAATAAAACTGTGTGGAACAGTAATAGACAGGGCATGTCCAACTACAGCAAGCAAGACAAAGGAAATATAGTGCATATCTCAGTGTTCGGCGATGGGAAACTGACAAGCCAAAAAGTGATTTTACGTAGAGATTCAAAAGATATTAACATCAATAATTCTTTGTAATTTTAAAGGAATACTGATGGTGGTGTGCCTCCTTTGCAGTATTTAACCGCGAGTAATAAAGAGATGGTTTTCCATTCCTTTCTCCCCTTTACTACCCAAATCGATAAGTGTATCACTTGTCTGCTTGAGATTTGTTTGATGACTCTGTCCCTGTTGATAGGATAAATCGCCATCAGAGACCCGGTTTGGTTTCAAGGAGATCAGAACCAGTGCTTACATTGGCTGTAGGAAAGTAAGTGACTGCAGTAGCTGCTCCTTACCATAACTATTAACAACCAAATCTAGACAATTCCCCTAGAACTATTACTGTGGTGTTTAACTGATTGCTTCTATAGTACTTTGCTCACAAGTAACAAGAAAATAAACAAACAATTTGGATATTTGTGTTAGTCTTCCCTCGTTCTCAGTTTATTATCTTATTTTTTAGACATTTCACATTGTTTAAAGTGGGAAGAAATTAGTCACATGGCTTTTGTACATTAACATTGCAAAGTGTTTGTGAAATTCATTGCCTCTTTCTAAAGCAACGGCTCAAAGTGGCCCCGATAATAACTTTTTTATTTTCTAATCTGAAATATGTCTCTCTTCAAATTTTCCCTCAATTAAGTCACCAAAAATATTATTTTATGTATTTTGTGCAAGTTATTACAAAAAGGAGGGGAGTATTAAAACTGACACATCTATTGGACCTCTTCTAAACATTCCCCATTTCAGCATGGTCTGAATGTGCAGGTAGCATCTACAGGCATTTTTATAGCTCTAGCCCAGCGACTCTGCAAACGAGCCAGTAGGGGGCACTGTGGTGGAACCTGCCGCATTGTCATCTCTTATTGGCTAAACATTTCACTATCTGGTGATGATCTGACCCATCAAATCATTCAGTGGTCATTCCTTATTTGTACAGCAAAATGAGACTCTGTGTATATATGGAGGAAAGGAGAGAAGAGGTCTGAGTGCGCACACACACACACACATACATAGAGGCATTTTACAGGACAAACACTAAACAGCATTCAGGAACTAGACTCTGCCCTGAATTCCCTTTTTGGTAGCCCAGCGGCACTGAGGCCAATTATAGTGATCCTATTGTGCCTTTGCAGTGGATCAGATTAAGTTTCCCAACTCAGCCTGGGGATTCCAGATTGGCTCCTTTTTTTGTTGAAAAGCCGGGTGTCTGACACACGCGGAAACCCATCACTGTGCTTAAGAGTATCCAAACTAAACTAAGAGCTTCATGCATCCCACTGACATGTGGAAATTCCAGAACTATTTATTGGAAAGGAATGTGCACTCTCCCTGGAGGGACACATCCTGCTTACCTAATTCCTGGAGCGTGTGAGGTGCAGGTTGGCAAGAGCCAAGGCTTGAGGCACTGCTGGAATCTAACCAGCTAACTTGCTCCTTTATGTTCTGTGACTCAGTTCCACAGTATGTGGTGCCTGTAACCACCTGAGCTCAGAATGGGCACATATCCCAGTCAGATATCAGCAAGAGAGGCGCCAACCATATCTTTATTGGTGAAGGAGAAAAGCTGATTGTTATTTCCGTTACTGGGGCATCCTTCACGGGTTCAGAACCATTCACCCCAGTGTAATTGATGTCCCTTTTTTGTGTAGGAAACAAATGGAAAAAAATGTTTACCAGATACTTTTCCATGGAAGTGGCACCTTTTTAAAATAACGTCCTCCCCACAGAAAGATACACTTAAATAGAACAACTTAATCCTAGAGATATGGATTACGTTCCCAAATCCAAGCGTGGCAGATTTGGCGCTAATCTTTCATGCCAACACCAAATTCCAGCTATTGATTTTTATTCTGAGTGTCAGAAATCTCCATTTACTCCTTCCTGGTTAACAAAAAGCCTTGCGACTAATCCGTAGATAGAAGTGTGTGTTGTGGTGAAGTTTGTAAACTAGACATTTTCTCTGATGTCTCTCCCATTATTTATTTTACAGAGAGAATAATGGGTGAGTGAGATTGATTGCAAACCAATAATTTCTTTGGTTTATTCTCACCTAAAACCTACAATGAGATTATTTCAGTGCAATCTCCCAACCTGTGATTTTTTACAATGTGCATAAGCAACACTGCTTTTAAGCATGAATTCAGCCCTGTTTTTCCTGTGTTGGACAGGAATATACAAACAGGAGAAGGCCGTTCAGCCTGGCAAATTTCTAAAGCCAGTTTATTAGATCATGGCAGATCTTTTATTAGATCATGGCAGTCCAGAATCTTGGTGCCTTGTTCAACCCTCAACTATCCTTTCTTCCCCACATCTGTGCCATGTCCCGCTCTGCCTTCCCCCACCTCCGCAACATTGCCCGGCTCCAACACTGTCTCACACCGCAGGCCGCGGAAACCCTCATACATGCCTTCATTACATCAAGGCTCGACTATGCAAACTCACTGCTTGTCGGCCTCCCCAACTCCTCCCTCCACAGGCTGCAGATTATCCAGAACTCTGCAGCCCATGTCCTCTCCCGCACTGGACTCTGCGACCCTATCACCCCCATCCTTGCCCAACTCCACTGGCTTCCCATCACACAGAAGATACAGTTCAATATCCTGGTCCTCACCTTCAAAGCCCTTCATGGTATTGCTCCCCCCTACCTCTCTGATCTCCTAACCCCCTACCATTCTGTTCACTCCCTCTGCTCAACTCTGTCCCCCGCCTTGCTCGCCCCACTTATCGGCAGGTGGGCCTTCCGCCACTCTGCACCCACCCTCTGGAACTCCATTCACAGTCCCTCCGGCTCGCCCCCTCCCTTGCCTCCTTCAAAACCCACCTCAAGACCCTCCTCTTCGACCGTGCTTTCGATCTCCCTGCTTCCCCCCTTACCCTCCCCCACCCTGACCCTCAGCTCGGGTCTGAAACTCTGTCCAGCGCCTTGGATGTCCTCCCGACTTGAAAGGCACTATATAAATGTAATTTTGTTTTTATTGTTTTAATCCCATTTCCCTGTCTTTTCCACATATCCTTTAATATGTTTCCTTGCCATGTATCCAGTTATCTTCCTTTTAAACATCCCAATTGATTCGCCTCAACAGTCTTCTGAGGCAGTGTGTTCACATTTCCACAACCCTTCTGTGTGAAGAAATGTCATTTGATCTCACTTCAAACCACCCCAGCTCTATAGTTAAAATTAATTTTCTTTACTGTGTATTTCTCTGGCTGAAAAATGAGTCTGTATAATTGCAATTCCCTTCATTATTTTATGAACGTCACCTGACATTGGCATCATGGTCTGGCATCAATAGCCAAGATATCCCATGCACTTAACCTGTGATCAGTTCCTTTCTGAACAGTTAAATTGTGGCATAATCCCTACAGTAGGTGAAGAGTTGATTGTGGAGCCAATTATTATAGCATAGCAATGCTCCGTACATTATTTTATTGTTTTTTCACACAACGGGTTATTGGAACTTGGAACAGCTGCAAAATGGCTTGAAAGAGATAAATATGTATGGATAAATATTTGAAGAGGAGCAACATGAAAGGGAACGGAGAGAGAGAGAAAGTAGGGAAGTGTGGTCAGATATCTCCAGTGGAGGAGTTGGCCATAGACTCAGTGGGCTGAAGAGCCTCCTTATGTGCTGTAATATTTGTGAATCTACAGTTCAATCTTTGCTGTAAAATGCGTTACTTTTCTTGTAAAAGGAGGAATCCAGAAAGAGACTGAGTGTACCCGCCTGCCCTGTGTAAAGATTTTGGATGGCAGCAGTGTCATAAGCATTGCTGCACTGAGTGAAAATAAAACTTAAGTGACCATTTTTACTCTCATTTCAAAACAAGAGTGTAGCCACGCATGCGATGATGTACAATTGGGATGATGCTAAAAGTAACTATATTTTCAGCCCTTTTCTCTGCCAACACCAAGCGCAGTTGCAGAACATAACCAGTTTGGTGCCCGGAAAAGGGCTATGGTTGTGTTGTTTTCTCTCCAATAGTAAAGCGAAGAAAGAAATATGGGGATGAAAAAGAAGAGCAAACAAGTGAAAACTCGAACAAATAAATCATCAAGAGAGAAGCATACAAAATAAAGGACCACTACCTCTAGCCACAATCACAGATGGAGTCCCCTGGTAACATTGGAAGTCTGTTGCATTCACTTGTGTGCATTCTGTATGATCTTCTTGTTGAAGTAGCAGTAATCCAACATTGCTTCCTACTGTAGAGTGAGGTTAGCTGTGAATTTGGTGTTGATTTTGATCAGAATTTTACCTCTGGAGAAAGCACATTGGCAAAGCACTTCCTACTAAGGAGGACATTTTACTGCAAGAAAAAAGTAGACTTTCTGGAAAAATCGTCAACTTTTCTCTGGAATACAGATACTTCGAAACACTTTTGGCAGAATGGAGCTGTGGGAGAGAGTCTAAAGAAAGTTTAACAGCCAATGGAGTTATTTTTTGGATAAGCTGTTAAACTGTGGACCCATCTACCTATTTTCAAATGGACATTAAAGATTCCATGATCCTGTTCATAGAGAAAAGTGGTTTCTTCTTGTGTGCTGGCCAATAATCCTCCAGATTAATTGTTCATTCACTTCAATTGTTTGAAGGAGCTTGCTGGTATTTTTGGCTGGTGGAATTACCAACAAAAACACAGTCACTACATTGACATAATTATTTGTCAAGATTTGTGAGATGTATAGCCATGATAAGGTGCTCTAAAAATGCAACCTCTTGCTTTATCAGCAGCAAATGGACAAAGCATGGAGGTACATTGCTTATGTCCTTGCAAACACATCAAACAGCTTGTTTGTGAAATGCTGTCTTCATCACGTACAGCCACTGAGAAAGTCCATTATGATTCTCGGTGCAATGGGCCTGTGAAATGGATTCAGCGTGGGAAAGGAGAAATCACATACCACAACAAGTCTTTGTACAAATATTTATCCGTTTATCCACTTATTGGAAAATGAGTGGGTTTTATGGGTTTTGCAGTATTTGAAAATGACAGAAAAGATGCGACATCTCATTTCCTACAGAAGATTTGGTCGTATGGCTAGACAATATGTTTTCCCTAACTGGGTAAAGTAGGAACACTTGGTAGTAAGTGGGATATTACCCCTCTACAGTAATAGGCACAAAATGTGTTGAATTAATGGCACATCTTAAATTGATAATATTAATGTCTATTAATGATTAATTAATTAATTAATTATATTAATTCTCAGCGAAATAGCTGAGCAGTTGTACCCAACAATAGTGCCCCTATTTAAGACAAGAG